CAACGTCAGAGTGCCATCACGCATCCGGAGAGCGCGCGCTCCAGGAGAGGATGAAGAGGATGATGATGATGGTGGTGATGAGGAGCGCGTGAAGCCGTCGTATGGATATAATGGATGATTTCTGTCGTTGTTTATCCTCCTGAGAGACAGACAGGCAGACAGACAGACAGACAGACAGACGGATGGGGGACCGGGACCGGCCCCGGCGGACCCGGAGACTCGGGAGCCTAGCGACCAAGTCCCGGGTCTCCAAGGAGACGAAGCTCCGGCTGCGCGTGATCTTCCTGGATGACAGCGAGCGCACGTTCGAGGTGGAGGTGAGTGAAAGACTGAAATAACAATAATAATATATATTTATTAGTATTTATCCATAATTATAACAATAATAATAATAATAATAACATATCTAACTGTTCTTATAGCGTGTTTTCTACATTTTAAATATTATAAAATAAATATTTCACATTGTTTTTTACTGTTTTCTTGTTTTTCTTTCTTATTTATGTTATTTATTTTATGATTCTGGGACAATATTAACACAATAACTATTGTTTTTACTTATAATGTCACATTCTGAGTAGAGCTACAGTATAATCTAACCCGGTGGTCTTCAAACTGGGGTCTGCGGACCAACAGGGGTCCTCAAGTGGGTTGTAGTCGGTCCCCAGCAAAAAAGGAGGAATAAAATATTTTAATTCTTATGCTAAGTGCTTAAAAAACAGTTTAACTGTGTAACTACATAGTTCAGTCTTTTATAATGTTTTCAGATATTATTTTCTAACATGTTTAATGAGCGAAATCTGACTTTAAAGTTCCCGTCCAGTCAGAAATCTGTTTCTTCTTGTTCCTACAGTCTGATGTTTGAGACTAAAAGGATGTTTTCATCTGCTGAAAGTGGAAAGTTTCTCCGAGCTCACTAAAAATAAGATTTTAAAGGGGGCGGGGCCTAGGAGCATGATTTGTGCCATCACAAATATCCAGTCGGAAACTTATACATAGACTTTACAGTGGAGGAGGAGACATCTTGTGTCCACAGTCTGCATATATTCTGTAATTTCTAATGAGATAGAAGGTGAAGATGCTTTATTTAAGGATTTTAATGTAAAAAAACACAGATTATTGTTATATTTACATCTTAATACATGTCTAAAAATGTTCTTTTCTCAATTTCATGACCGAAAGTTGATGAGTATAAATTTTATTTAAACACCTGATACTTCTACGGGTTGCTGATCCATCAGGTGGTTTGATACTTCCCCAGAGTGCGAACTATCACAGTATTCTGACTTCAAATTAGAGAGAATAATAACAAACATCAACAGTAGGCTACGTTTACACATATTCCATGATGGGGAAGATGTAGTAAAATACTCCTGTAGCTCTTTTGTAGTTCACAACTTGAACCTTCAGGCTGCTGCTTTACTCTCAGTGTCTTTATTTGACGTCCACTGTGGAGTTTTATTATTTCCATTCTCAATTTTCAAGTTGGTTCAACTATGAAGCTTCAGTGCAAGTTTTTCTTTACCTGTAGGCTAAAAAAAGAGCATTTTAACACCTTTAGAACAATAAGTTAGGGATTTTAGATCCTCATAATTTTTGAAGCACACATATTCTGCACTGTTATAATCTAGATTCAGAAAGAAAACATGATCTGTTGCTGCTTCGTGGTTTATTTATTTCCAATGTGCAGATATAAGAGACATTTTTATAATGTATAACAGGATAAAATGGGAATACTGGACCAAGAAAAGTGAGGAATTATGAGGATCAGAAATTCCCAATCTGTTGTTCTAGAGGTGTTTTCTGAAGTATGTTAAGGAAAATCTATGAAAAATGATGAGTTATATTAAAAGCTTGTTACCACTGGATTCAAAACAACATTGATGTCAATAAATAACAAAGAAATAATCAGATTTAGTGTAAATCTGATTATTTAACACGTCAAAATAAATGTTAAACTTATTTTTTCTTCTGAACTGCAACAGAGGAGTAAACAAAGAGAATTAAACGTTTTTTAATTAAATATCTCTAAATGGGTTTTGTTTGTTTTAAACACAAACATTAACAGGATGTCCTCCGACTGTAAAACATCTGCGTGATGTGTGAACAGCTGGATGTGAAAACTCTCTGCTGTCTATGAACCGTCGTGTGTTTTTCACTCTGCAGCTCCGGAAAAAAGCAGAGCCGGACGTTTTCAACATGGTGACGTCGCCTGCGAGGCAGTAACGCAATCTAAAAAGAGACCTTCCACTGTGTGTGTGTGTGTGTGTGTGTGTGTGTGTGTGTGTGTGTGTGTGTGTGTGTGTGTGTGTGTGTGTGTGTGTGTGTCTTGCAGTATTGTGTTAGCAAAGTAGCTCCATTTTCCACGCCCATGCTTTCTCTGGCGGTTTCCCAGCGGCCTCTGGGACATTAGTAGCATCTTTAGAAGAGGAGGAGGAGGAGGAGGAGGAGGAGGGAGGAGGGAGGGATAAAGAAACGATAAAAGAGAGGAAGAAAAAAAGAAAGGATGGATGGATGGATGGATGAGAGGCAAAAATAAACTGTACCCACCCGGTGACAAATATAGTGTATCTGGTAAACAGGGGAGGTAATAAATGTGTGTGTGACAGAACAAACGCACACTCAAACTGTAAAGATTGTGTGTGTGTGTGTGTGTGTGTGTGTGTGTGTGTGTGTGTGTGTGTGTGTGTGTGTGTGTGTGTGAGAGAGAGAGAGAGAGAGAGAGAGAGAGATATTATAACCTATAAATTAGACTTACAATCAACTTTCTCAGCTCTGATTGGTTGTTGTCGTTCGGGCCTGGTGGATTCTCGCGGATGCCGTTTGGAGCGCTCAGAGGAACCGGATTATTTGACAGATTATCCGTCTCATGTTCTACTGTAATACAGTGAAAGTTACATCAAATATGACATAAAGTTATTCTTTATAAATGTTACCGACTGCAGCTTTAGTGACGGATACAAACAGGCTTACAGGCAAAGGAACATGGAAACAAAGGAGCAAAAGATCGGACAACTGACTGAGGATTAGGGGGCTGGTTTTGGTTTATGTGCTGCATGAGTTTTGATTCGTTTGGTGGGGTCGATATCTACTGTACGTCTACGATGCTAATCCAAACCCCGACTAAACTGTTTCACCATTAATGCATCACAACTTTCTGCACACTGGCGCCCTTTTTTATTTATTTCTGCCAAGAGACACTGAAACTCCAGGGTTTGTGGTTGAGGAGAGAAAGTCAGTCTACATATTATTCTAAATGTAGGCTCATTCAAAAGCCTATTTAAAAGTCATTAACAACATTTTACACAGATGTTATAACTCTTTAGCGGATAAAACGGGTAAACAAACAAAGCAAAAACTCTTTTCAGCCATAAATACCAGTGTACACATGTTAAAAAATAGGGTAAACTCATTATAAGATTAAACTTTTTTACGACTAATCGATTTTAGGAGGTAAAATAGTCTCTCAGATGTCCGTTTGAGATTAGGTTTTTACTCACATTTGCAGGTACGTGTTGTCTCGTCCTTCCCGGGAACAAAAGGACTTTATAAGCCACTCCCACTTTAAGGCTAATTGGTTTGAAATGACCCTTAAAGGACGGGTGTGAAGGATTTAGTGCCGTCTATCAGTAAAGTTGCAGATTACAACCATTTGAATACAACCCAGCCTTCCAAGAGCGTAGAAGAATTACACACTAATAAAAACATACCTCTAAATATTATAATACCTTTCCGACAATAGATCCTGATAAATGTTACACATTTTAACCAACAAGAGGCTATCTTGAAATGCTAAGCTAAAGGCAGCAGTTTCTTTTTTAATAGTTGATCTTTAAACTTTATTCATAAGGACAGTTGACAATCAGCAGATTGGACAGTAAAGTTTTCCTCTCAATCTGCTCCGTTGTTCTGGGGGCGGCCGTTTGTTTCCAGTAATCATCGGTTAGGCCTGTGCTCTCTTTATAATCGCTAACAGCTGCTCTGTCCCTCCTCTTCCTCCCTCTCTCTCTCTCTTTCTCTCTCTCATGACAAGTTAATGAGGGACGCCCAGTGACCCCCGACGGGGTGCTAAACATCGGCTAGCAGACAGCAAACACTAAAAAAAAACCCTTGTGTCGCTGCAGTGAGGGAACAACAGCAGCTCAGTAATTAGAGACACAAGAAAGAGAAAAACAATCTTTATTAATATATTTTTCTTTACTTAAAAGGGCAAAAATATTTAATATATACATATAATATAAGTTATTAAACAAGATTTCATTTAACTCTAAAAGTACAAACACCACACTGTGAAAATAAAAAAGTAAAAGCAGCTTTGTTACTGTACTTCAGTATTTATCTTTTAACCATAAAACCAAATCTGTGACTTTACATCACCGATAATTTTCCACCTTTATTCTGGATATAAGAACACGTGTTTGGATATCGATATCGTTATTCCAAAGGCAGCGTTTTCCGATTCAGATGTGAGATATGTCGATAATATTCGGGTTTTAGAAGCAGTGTTTGGCTAGTTCACTCGAAAGATTTAATAGTATTATAGTAATATTATCACTTTATTTATTAAGGTACACTAATAGATATATTACTTTTCTGCTACTCACCACAAAATTGGACCTTAACAACGATTAAAATCTGATAAAATCCAATTTTTGTTGTTAAAAATCAAAGTAATGTGAATATTTCCATCTTCCAAACTCCACAATTATAAAAAAAATGAATCAATGGATGTGATTGGATTGTTGATTTCAAACTAGTAGCGGGGTTAATATTATTATTAATATTATTACTGAAAGGTATTAGTAATTAGTTACACTACCAGTTACTGGGGGAATATTATTACTTTTTAATATTATTATTACTACTATTATTCAGTTTATCATTCTGGCCCAGACTGTAGTGCCTAGTTGCCTTTATAGGGCAGTATAATGAGCCTTATTGACCCGATTGATCTGTTAGTATTATCCTGCCTTCAGCAAGTGGAGAGTATCTTCCTCATTCACAATTAAATCTTTGTGTGTAACCGAGCTTCTATTGACTCATTAACAGCAGTGAAATGCAGCACGGCAGGAGGACAGGAAGTCTTTTTCTAGTTCACATTGAAACCAATGGACCTCATTTGACCTATAACAGTGAAATTACACAAACTCTCATTATGGAAAGAGAAAATTGATCCACACCACGCAGTCCGGGCTCCCCTGAGTGTTCACTTTTAAGAGAGTCTCAATTAAAAAATCCAATTATCCCTCTCACTTTAATTCTCTCTCTCTCTCTCTCTCTGTCTCAGCAAAAGGTTTTAGGTGGCGACTTCTTCAACAAAGTGTGCGGACATCTGAAGCTGCTGGAGAAAGAGTACTTCGGACTGGAGTTCAGACACCACAGCGGGAACTACGTAAGAAAGTCAAACACACACAAACACACACACAGGCAGAATATTTAAATTTCTCTTGCCATAAAACCACCACGTCTCTGTTGCAGGTGTGGTTAGAGCTGCTGAAGCCGCTGATCAAACAGATTAAATGTGAGTTTCTCTTTACTTTCACAAGAAGAAATGTAATTTGTCAAGGATGGAGGAGGTCAGGTTCGACTGATGTTTGAACAAACTGTCACAGCTGCTTCAAATGACACTCAAAACACCAAGAGGTTCCTCCTGCTAAATGCATTTTTGTCTAATTTATATATATTTATATATAAAATGTGCACATTGTTTTGCTGATACATGATCTTTAACTCCTCCTGAAAAGCACTTAATGAAGGCAGTTCTGTAAGAAGGAGATATGGTCTCCAAATTACAGCTACTGTTTTAAAAAATGTAAATGGTTTCAATGATTAGGTTATGCAAATATTTTGTATTGAGAGAAAAAAAAACCTTGATGCATTTATTTTGTCTCATTTATATTTATTTTAAATGTGTTTTGTTTTGCTGATGATGAAATTGTGATTCCTTAAAACGTGTAAGTCTTCAAAATGGCTGCTTTACCTGTTTGAACAGCAATAAAAATGGCCAGGAAACGTTCATTTAAACCCAAATTTGCTTTTTTTCTTCGTTTTTAACTGGTTATGTAACAGTCTTGGCTTAATACTGATACCTCTGTATGACACAAACCGACAAATCAGATTCTGTTGCATTCACCTCATTGCTGCTTCTGTATCTGTAATATTTCTTGTTTCCTTTCTCTCTGTCAGACACCAACGATCTCTTCTTCAGGTTTATAGTAAAGTTCTTCCCACCAGATCCTGGACAACTGAAGAGAGGCCTCACCAGGTAACTTATTCATGTTTTCTTCTTTTCACCAGACTTTAATAAACGTTCACACTTTCTAGAAATCAATGAATCATACACTGTCCTATTGTGTGTGCGTGTGTGTGTGTGTGTGTGTGTGTGTGTGTGTGTTAGGTATCTTTTTGCCTTACAGATAAAGCAGGATTTGTCCAACGGCAGTCTGACCTGTCATGACAACAGCGCCGCCCTGCTGGTCTCTCACATACTGCAGTGTAAGCTTTAAATGTCTATAATGTAGACATCGTTATAGTACTTGAGACGTTTTAAGTACAAATTCAAGGTACTTTACTCAAGTAATTCCATCTTATTATCTAATCACTACATTTATCCGACAACTTTAGTTACTTTAAAGATTAGAATTTAGTGCCCTCACTTCTTACCGAGTACCGCCACCTCTGGTGAGCTAAAAATAACTACTTAAATGCCCCCAAACTTCCCTAGCAAGTTCAGTTATTGGACCTCACTATTTATAAAATATAGGGTACCGACACCTTTTTTTGGTCCAATTCAGGCAGTAATCGGGATGTAAAGATAATTTTAACCAATATAACAAAAGAAATGCTTCTGAAATACATTACCTAGTGTAGCTTTAAGAGGAGAAAATGCTTATGTTATGAAAACTCATCATTTCAATGCAACAGTTTTAAATCAAACAAAAACCTTTACATTTAATAAAGTAATAAGGTTTGCTGACCTATAATCTTTTGTTTAGGTAATTTACTTGTCTTCTTTAGAAAAGAGTTTACGAATCTGCATTTCAAAAACTGTTGAGCTATGAAGCACAATTTTCATTATTATGGTGCTTGAAAATTAAATTCAGCTAAATGCTAAAACAATTTTTTAAATATTTTGAAAAATGTTTTGTTTTCAAAACTTAAAGATTCAAGTTTTTCTGAAGAGGAAAAGTAAATAATTAAAAACTTTGGAGTTTGAGTTTGGCTTGAGTTTTCTCCTAGTAATTTAGTACTCTCATCAATATCTGAGGAAGAATCTACTTTATTTTAATTGAATGATAATAGCCAGAAACAGAGAGATAAAAGACAGATGAATGAACCCGGGGACTGTTCAGAGTTGGTTTATTTACATGTAAACGTTGTTTTATCAGTCCTGTTTTTCTGTATGTGTGTTGCAGCAGAGCTAGGGGACTTTGACGAAGAGCTGGACTGTCACCACTTAGAGATGAAGCAGTACGTCCCCAACCAGGAATATTTAGACCACAAGATCATTAAGTTTCACAAGAAACACAGGTACATTTAGGGACCGCTGTGAGTAAGTATTTCACCCCAAATGTAACCAAACAAAAGGTTAATCATACCCATCGATGTTTGTTTGCACTTTCCATTCAGTCTCTCTCTCTCTCTCTCTCTCTCTCTCTCGTGTGTGTAGAGGTGCGTCTCCAGCGGACTCCGATATCCACCTGCTGGAGGTGGCGAGGAAGCTGGACATGTACGGGATCAGGCCTCATGCCGCCCACGACGGGGAGGGAATGAGGATCAACCTGGCCGTCACGCACTCTGGAGTACTGGTCTTTCAGGTGTGTGGTTGATGGTCTCGGCTATAGTTAGTCCAGAGCATCGACTTATATATAAAGATGGACGACATGACAGCTCTCCAAAAGTGAAGCCAAAACATCTTGATACCCCCCTGGTGGCTGACTGCAGTGCTGCCTCCATAGTCAAATAAATGTTTTCCAAAGATGGTTTCTGTCATTTTAAGTAGTTCTTATCACACTGATGTATGTTCAAGTGTTAATTTTTTACAAATACGTTTTTTTTTTAAGCTATAAAAGGGGGTTTCACATCATGATTGATAGCTGAGCCCTGAGTCGATGACACGACACCGACACCCGGCTCCGAATGACCAGCACAAGACGGCTGTGTCCGGGATATTTTGGCTTAATTTCTGTACAGTGGAAGGAAGTGGAGATGTTAATGCTCCAGAGTGAAATATCTCAACCAATATTGGTTAAAATGGAATGAAATTTGGTGCAGACATTCAGAGTATCCAAAGGATTAATCCTAAAGTCTTTGGTGATCCCTTGACTTTTTATCTAGCGCCACCAACAGGTCAAACTCTAACAGTGAATTGATCATTTTCTCCTGTGTTTTCTAGGGAAACACCAAAATCAACACGTTCAGCTGGGCGAAGATCCGCAAGTTGAGCTTCAAGCGCAAACACTTCCTCATCAAACTGCACGACAAAGTTGGGGTGAGGACCTGACCATGACCTTTTAAACTCCCTGGATGTTGTTGGAAGTTGTGTGACTGTGTTTGTTCAATACTCACATGTGCACATACTGTATGTGTTGTCCATCTCAGCCTTCTTGTAAGGACACACTAGAGTTCTCGATGGCCAGTCGAGATGTGTGCAAGTCCTTCTGGAAGACCTGCGTAGAGTACCACGCCTTCTTTAGACTGGCAGAGGAACCGAAGACGATACACAAAACCCTGCTGTCCAGTAAGGGCTCCAGCTTTAGATACAGGTAAACGCAACGTAAAACAATGTACCAAAAGCTGCAACAGGATGTTATTGAGTTAGTATTTGAAGTATTATTTGTTTGTGTGGCAGCGGAAGGACACAAAAACAGCTGCTGGAGTGTATGGGATCAGGGGAGAAGAAGCCTTCACACTTTGAGAGGTGAGAATAACTTATCAGGCCCATCGGTCAAAAATCAATTAAAGACCATCAGTGCAGACAGTGCCCTGATCCATCAAGAACCACCAGAGGAGGTTAAGGCCCCTTTGCATTGATGCTCAAAGGTTTTGAATTTGTGGAGGGATGGCAAACCCCAACAGGATGCTAAATATCTCATTCAGTGCCTGAAATAGACATTTAGGTACCACCACCTCTGATAAGCATGGCTGTACTCACCACTGTGAGCACCAAAGTCCGGTGCTCAAAATGGTTAAGGGTCAAAGCCAAACCACAATGGTAAAGGAAGACAAGAACATTATCCTGTTGGTTAATAATATATTAGCCTCCTAAGACCCAATGTAACCTCACCCCTAACCCCTGACCCAACCACACTATTATAACCCTAAGCTCGGCGGTGGTGGGCAGGTGGATTTTAACAGGTTAAAGAAACATTTGGTGGTAGGTAGAGGTTATTTCTTCTCGTCTGTATATATAATTTGGTCTTGTTACCTTCTTGCTCCTCATCTAGGACCTACTGTCAGTCAGACTACGATCCCAGACAGTGTCGCTCCTCTCCGGATCTCCTCACGGATGTCTCCAAACAAGTAATAAAAATACTATTTACAGAGTTCAAAACCATTAGTTTGTCATTTTTTCAAGCAAAAAGTCACATTTTTGCTGCTTTGTTTTACTTTTAGTAAATTGAATATTTGGGGCTTTTAGACACTTTCAGACAAATAGGCAGTTGTCTAATGTTTGTGTGTCTTACCTCCTCAGTTGTACGAGCACTCATACCCGTATCCTCGTTCAAGTCACGCCTTGGCGGTCCGCAGTCAGGATGAGTTGGACCCACATCACCGAGGTGTAGACAACATCGAAATTGGTGAAAGAGGGGCTAGACGCAGTCAATCGTCCGGCGAGGTCACCCAGAGGATGCGCCCTCTCTCGCAAGTTGCTCCCCACTCTCATTCCCTAACCGCCTCGCCCAAGATGAGATCTGCCTCCACATCTGTGGTGGAAGACACGAGGGGGGGACGGATCGCGGGGCAGCGGCAAGCACAAAGGCTAGCCGGTGTCTACGGCAACCGGTCACGCCGTCGACCCAATCCCCAACCACATCCGGATGCTGCTCAGCAGTTGGTTCTTCTCTACCCAAACAGTCCGGCGTACCAGTATCACCCCATCCTCCCGACATTCTCACTTGCCGGTTCCTCGCCTCTCAGCCGACACCCTTATCTGACGGACTACGTCGCCGTTTCCTCACTGGAGCGTTTCCCACAGGCGAGGAGGCGGGATTATGTGACAATGGATGGTCTGTCACGGCCGTCTTTCTACCCACTGAGCCACGATTCGCCGTCCCACTCACCAATCAGAAGGAACCTGCGTCCCTCTGGCTCGGGCGGGCTGGGATTGGCGAGGGTTTATCAGCCAGGAAGCAATGGAGCAAGGCTACTGGGCGTCGGCCATACGGAGGCAGGGCATTACAGCGATGACTCCAACTTCCTCCCAGGGTTGCCTCGCCGTGTAGCTAGCCAACCAGATGTCAAGTTTCACCTATCAAGGGGCTCTAACCCTGCCTCTGAGTTCCGTCCCCTTGGTTACTACCCTCACCTGACGCGCCCCTCCAGACCCACCTACCTCCCTCTAAACTCCTCCCCTCTGCCCGAACGACCCACCTCGCTATGCATGATCGGCGGCACCACGGGAAGCTACAGCGACTCCGACTCAGAGGTTTTCTATCCGTATTACTGCCCGCCACCCCCTCTGGGGAAACTGGCACGGCCCGCCGGACTAGCCAGGATGAGGTTTTCCTCTGGGAGCCTCCAACTGGACGAGGAGGAAGAAGAGGGGGAGGAGGAAGAGGACGAGGACAGAGCGGTGAAGGCAAAGAAAGAGTTGAAAGGTGAAGAAGAGAAGAAAGAAAAGAAAGGAGACGGGTCTAAAGGTGCTGCAAAGATTACTGAAGTCACACTGTAGATAGAAACATGGACACATGCAAAGGTTCATGATATGATCACAGGATGGTTTTAAACACTAAGACAATTGTAATAAATGTGATGGCTTCATGAGAAATGTAGTTTTTGTTTTTTTAGGTGTGCTGGCAGATGAAATGTACTGTTTTTGCCTTGTTTTTAGCAAAAAGTAGTTATGGGAACAAGCTAGCAAACTTTAAATTATATCTACGTAGCCCTCCTAGCTGACCATGGAAGGTCAAACAAGCTGTACTAACCTCAAAAACTGACCTCACTGTTACGCAAACCATGAAGAAATAACAGTATTACGACACCAGCAACAAGCCTCTGGGTTGTAAAGCTGCCTCTGTAGGAATCAGGTGTTAAGACGTCCTCATTTTCTTCTACTGGGCAAAGACGTCTGCCTTGTGCTAGCAGAAATGTACATGCGAGGCATTAAAATTGAAATAAAAAAAAGTTTTTTACAACTTTGGTCTAATTTTTGTATATTCCCAATTATGACTTCATTGTTCTAGGGCTAGGGGCATTTTATCTATCTCATCATCTATCGTATCAGCTAGATGGGGCAAGAAAGACAATTGTTTTGACTTTGATACAAGTCTTTTGTCGGTGTGATGTGTGTGTGTGTAGGGTTGGAAAACTTTCAGGTGATGTAACTGGGTATTAATTTGTTATTTTATATGAATGGTTCGTGTGAATTCTGTAGAAAAATGTGAATTTTTTTTGTTTTGTTTATACAACGCAACTGCATTTGTGAATAAAGGATTACACAAGAAAGATAATTGTGGTCAAATTAATACAATAAAACAAGTAAAATTCAACTGGTATGTTAAAATTTTGGGTTATTTCACCCAAGCAATCAGATTATATTTGATTATTAAAGACACAAATATAAAATAAAGACATAGTTGAAACAAAATGATTCTCAATCAAACTTAAATATTTATTCATAAAACTCTAAGTCCCGCTACAAAAAAAAGAGTACATTTCAGTAAAATCTTACATCTTTCATTTTACATCCCCCCCCCCCCCCTCAACAAGCAGTTGTATCCCTTATGATATATAAAAAGACAAAAATATACAATGACCAAGTTTTATAGTGTCTTTGGTACAAACTATCAGTAATACCTTAGATTACAGCTCCCCATCGTGCTCTCGAAAAGGAACCCGTGCTGCTTTTCAACGCTGGGTTTTTAAAAACAACGTCCTTTACACATCGAGCATTACATTAAGAATCAACTCTCAGACACAAGTTGACAGTCCCCAACAATGTTTTCCCAAAACTTCATGCATACGAACGATGCGACGAAGGACACAGTCTTTTCGTGAGCGAGTGGACGACCTTTGTGCTATAATTGTGCCTTGCTTGCAGATTCTGGAAATGTTTAATTTTTTATTTTATTGCAAACAGAACTACACAGATCCCATTAAATTAATCCCAGAATAAAACCTTAACCAACAGTCGAGTTACGTACCTACAAACCAATGAAAAATTCTCCATTTCCACCAATTTTTCGACCAAATTTTGATCCTAACGGTTGAGGAACGTTAGCAAAAACAAGTAACAGCACTGATTCATTCAAACAGAAGCCATTTTAAACATTTAGGTTATAACTTATATATATATATATATATTTAAATAGATTAATTAACTTGAGGATTTACACATATTTAGTATTTAAATTTAGCTAGCAATGTTAGAAACAGCTACAACAACAAATAGCTAGCTAGTTTACTTGTTAGTAAAAACTTTATTTTAAACAGGTTTTCACTGGGGAAACTTAGATTTTAGATGATTTAACAGCATTTATCAGCTAAACTGAACATTGGATGTGTTTTGAGAGCTGACCTTGACTGAATCCTGGGATCAGGGAACTGCAATTTAAAGCATTACTGAAGACAACAACAACAAATAATGTAATATTGGCATATGATCTGTCTCAAGTGCTACTGAACAAATATATAGACATCTACAAAGTCAAGGCAAGTCATGACACAAAACATACCACTGCTGATGGACGCGAACCCTCTTTTACATCTTTCTGTGTGCGGTTAGCAACAAAAAACAAAAACAAAAAAAAGACTTGTAGCATAAATAATTAAGGCACATGATGGTAATTTGGAAAACATAACTTAAGCAAAATCAGGAACTTAAGTTTGAAGTCTGACTACAAAGTGGTCAGAAAGAAACAAAAAAAAGAAGTTCATGACCCTAAAAAAAAAACACCAATCTAACAGACAACTTCGATTGTATATTCGGAACCTAAGACCAGTTGATCGAAGGATGCAGCTGCTTTTTGGGGCTAACTCTGGGAGACAAAAGGCCTTCAACCAGCAGCAGTGAATATATATATATATATATATATATATATATATAGTGTATATATTACATTAGTAGTGTGTGTGTGTGTGTGTGTGTGTGTGTGTGTGTGTACAAGCGAGGAGACATCGCACAGCAAATCTCCTCCGTGTCCGATCATCCAGCAGCGTCACCGTACGGAGACACAGTCTCTCTTCACATAACGTACTTCCTTTTATTTATTTATTTTTATTATTTACTGTGATCCATCCGTCCTTCAGTTGGTCGTAAATCTGTGAGAAAGAGAGAGTAAACAAATTATCTGATGGAGGAAGACGAAGATATATATATACACACAGAGGGTAAGAAAGTGCAGACGTATTGAGAAAATGGCGAACGTACTTCTGGTACCTGGCAATGATGTGTGTGACCATCCTGTCTGTGATGCCTGGACAGACTTCTTCAGCCAATCGGATGTTGCGTTCGAGCTCCTCGATAGCCAATCGCTGCTCAGAGTGCTCCTTGTGTTGCTGCTTCAACTACAAAACGAGGAAAAATTTAACATTTCTGCACCTTTAAATGACCCGAAGGAGGAGTTTACAGTTTACAGTTGATCCCTCTTAAGTCCCGCCCCTTTTAGGGACCAGAATCCGAGTCGGGTTTATTTCCGTAGGTTTCCACATACAAGGAATGTGCCTCAGAAAATTGGTGCGTTACAGTAAACATAGAGAATATAAATAAAGATAAAAACAAATAGATAAAAAGAGACAAGATATATGCAAATATATAAAGAAAGGCTATAATTTGCATACATCTTAAATCTAAGGGTCGACCCCAACCCTTAACCCTAATGGTGTCACATTCTTTAATCTACATTAATCATTAGCTAGCTGGTTACATCTACAAATAATTCATGTAGATTAGCTAGCGAAGATGTGATTTATATGTACATTTTATCTTTTAACCATCTTTTTTAACACAGATGAGTGTAGCACATAGCGTATCTAAGTAAAAAAAAAAAAAAAAAATGGGTTTGTTTTTTTTTTTAGTGAATATTTTTTAATTTAAAAATTTTTTAGGAAAAAAATATGAATTGAAATAAAGGGAGGTTGTGTTTTCCCCCCATGTATAAGTAGCATTGTCTTCATAATAAAAGAGTTTATATTAAAGTTGTTTCTTATTTTTGTTGTTGTGTTTTTGCTTTGGACTTTTCTTTTTATTTTAAATATATGATTAATGTTTACAGATGTATATTTACAGACTAAATGTGCCGTGAATTTCCCAGAAAGTTCGACAAAATAGGATTGTTTTCGTCATGTGTTTTGTCTTACTTTATATATTTAATCAACCCCACAAAGGACCCCCCGTCTTTAAATACATGTCCCCTTTACTAAACAACCGGGTATTTCAAAAAGTTCCTACAGACAACAACAACCACAAAACACACATGAAAGTCCAACACAGTGTATTTTACAGTCTGTGCGTCAAACCGATCAACCAGTCGACCTCTAGCGAATACTGACCTCAGTGAAGACGGGAGAGATGACCGTGGTGAGACTGGCAGATTTACTCAGCTGATCCTGACCCTGCTCCGACGAAGAGGAGGAGGAGGAGGTGGATGTTGTAAAGGAGAAAAAAACAAACACAAGGTGAGCATTTAATACGGTGCATGAAACAAATCAAAACCTCAAACTAAATGTTTCTTATTAAGTTTACAAAAGGAAACTGGTTTAAAATCTTGTCCTTGTATTTAAATCCATTAAATTCCTCACGCAGACTCGTGAAATGTGAAATGTTTGTTAGCATTGCCCTGGTTCCTTTCTATTATTATAAAAAATAATGTAACTAAGATAATCTTCGCAAATTAACTCTACTTTTATGATTTTTGAAGTGTAAATGCACTTAAATAGTAGTAAATAACCAAAATGTACATCGATTTTCAGCATAAATAAGTGGTTTTAAGGTTCAGTTACTCTTTAATACAAATATATTTTATATCATAAAACAAAATGTGAGAATCTCTTAAGCTTGTGTTAACCACAGACATTATATCACGCATATAAACCACTTTCACTCCTGCAGCACTCACACAGACAATACTAACCGTTCCATTGAGCACCTTCCTGCCCTCCGTCTTCTTCTTACGGACGGTGGTGAAGGACCACTCTGGGGACTCGCTGTTCTCCTTATTACTGGACTCACTTTACACACACATAACAAACACACACAAAGACTTACAGGTCAACACATCTGAGCCTCTGCTGCGTTTTCCTGTCAGATCTCTCAACATCCAGGATGGTAAAACAGTGATGGCGTTACCTGTCGGAGTCGTCAGAGCTGCTGTCGCTGTGGCCCTCCTCCCTCCACCTCCTGTACCTGTCGATCAGCTCGCTGAGGTAGGACGTCTTCTTACAGTGTTTGACGATGAACTTGTGTTTGAGGAGCTCTTTGGCTGTAGGACGCTGCACGAAGAGAAATAAAAGTTATCAGGAGTGATAACTGAACTTATCTTAAATACAGGAGAAAAGAGGAAATATGAGGGAGAAAATGGAGGAGGTGTTTGTCCACCAGGGGGCAGCAAACTGCAGCTACAATCACACATGAATGACTTAAAAAAACATTTATTCCACTCAAACCTGCTAAAAACTATATAAAATACAACTTTTAAAGTACTAAAGTACTAAAAAAAACAACAATAAAGAAACAAAAAATATTCCATCACAGTAAAATCAAGTAAATTATATACAAAATGTGTATTTTCTTGTATTTATGATTCAAATTCCTGCTTCTAATACTTTTATTTTATGTGTTCTTTTATTTATTTATTTATTTATTTAATAAGTGTTTATAAGTGAACCATAAAAGATTCATTAGAGTGAATCTGTGTCTTACAAAGGTAGGGTCCTTGTTGAGGCAGGCCTCGGTGAACTCTTTGAAGCTCTTGGAGAAATCTCCGCTCAGCGTCGGAGGAGGAGACTTTGGGATGTGGAACAGCACTCGCATGGGATGCATGTCCGAGTTTGGAGGTTCGCCTTTGGCGAGCTCGATGGCCGTGATGCCCAGCGACCAGATGTCGGCCTGGAGAGACAGAACAACGCCGGTTTAGATCAACATCCTTCATGTTTACGCTGAAAATTGATGCATTTTAATGGATCTGAGAGCTCACTTTTAGCCCAGTAAGTGCAGCCAGGCAGGAAATTATCAGTTTAAGTTGGGAAATTACAAGTTTGTTAATCTATAACACTGAAAATGAGTCACTCATGGTTACGGTCTACATTCTGACAGGATACGTTTCCACAGGTAGACAGTATGAAATGCTTGTGCAGAGTTCCCTTTGAAGTGTTTTTCTGTTGACTAAGATTTCCTGAGAAGACGACTCGTATCGAGAGACGTTCAGGCAACCACAGAAAGAGATTGTTTCTTGTGTCACTGCAAATACAACAGCAGTTCCTCCTTTAGGGCAGCTGTGTCGTGATGGGAAAGCTTCAAAATACCCAACATCTCGGTACACATTAAACACCTTAAAAACCATATTACACTCCTGTATTATGTTGTTTGAATATCAGCCTGCTTATTAGGAATAAACCTTCCTCCTGTGTGAAGTGTCAGTAGCTGAATGATGGTGGCCTACGCTGTTGTAGAGCTTAAACATCGGTTATTCTTCTCTGGGAGAGACTTACATGTTCGGAGAAGTTAGAGAAACACTGGTTTAGTCGATAAAATGACAAAAAATAGCGATAAATGCCCCAAATTATTCAGTTTATAATCATATAAAACAGAAAAAAACAGAAAAAAATAACATTTTTACTTAATAAATTAACTTAAAAGATTAATAAATTATCAAAATTGTTGATTACTTTTCTGAAAATATACTAATAATGTTTTAGCTACTTACTTTTTTATTTTAGTACAATACAAAATAGGCCACATGATACTATACATATACACACACAAATACCCCTCCGTCACGGCCAAAACTACCAACACACCACGAGATCAGTCCACCAAATATCCAAACACCCAAAACAAGCCCCCAAGCACCCCAAACAAACACCTACACACACAGCTACACACACACAACTACACACACAGCTACACACACACCTACGCAGACAACAGTACGTGTCAGGAGTCACACAGACTACAAACACACTCAGTCAGCTGCACAACTCTCATCCAAACCACCTGACTGTTTGTTTGCACGACGGCTGTGACTCCCACCAACCATATGTCAACCTGGGCAACACACACACGACACACACACACACACACACACACACACACACACACACACACACACACACACATACTCAGAAGTCACACATGCACACAGGTTGAATGTCACGTAGTTTCAACTTGCTCCAATGACCATGTGGCAGCCCAGGTACGGAGCAGACGTTCACACACAAATGCACCCACACACACACACACACACACACACACACACACACACACACAGAGTACAGTTGTAGCAGAGCTGCTCAGGGTCACATTACAACAGGATGCTCGGTCACTGTTTGACTGTTAACTCTGCTGGCTCCATTACTGTTACACACTGGACATATGGCAGCCTGTAGCAGGACACACACACACACACACACACACACACACACACACACACACACACACACACACACTTCATGATGTATGTATCCTACATAAAAACCCTACAAAATGTCCTGTGATGGAGTAACACGCTGCGTCGAGACATTATTATTACACCTAAAAACATAACCAGTAGCAGAAAAACGTCACTGTGGTTAAAGTTTCGTGTTTTTTGGCGTTTATTTTTTTGTCCACGTTGCTACAGGAGTTAAACGGTGACACGTTGAGTGTTTCACGGTGATAATAAGTTGTTTTAGTTGAGGCTCAGCAGCTCCTGTGGACACAGCTATTGACCGGGGTCGCAGAGACGGACGGGGACGTTGACGGAGGAAGCTAAGAAGAGAAAACGTGGGACTGTTTTTTTTTAGTCGTTGGTGACAGTTTTGTGAAATAAAAGTTGGACGTCGAGCTGCTGTTGGACTTCATATGTGTTGTCAGAGTTCCCACTCTGGCGGCTGGCGTTTATGGGAACGCGTTTTCTCGGTGTGCTTAGTTGCTGCTCTCACCACAGCCGATTTCTCCACTGTGGCCTCAGGAGGAGAAAAATAACAAAACTAACTTCTTCTAACGTATCAGCCTTTTAAAAGATGAGGCAGACGATGTGAGCGTCCGTTGCGCGCACAATTATCAATTATTTAAGTACTTTAATTAGCTGTGAACAGATCTAGACAGGTTTTACGTAATCTGAGCAGTTAACATATTCCAGGTGTTTCCATAACCGGATAACTAGTTTTCCTGCGTGTGTTGTTGCACTCGCTGGATGTCTGGTTGTTAGCAAAGCTGTCAACTCGCTAGTTTTTGATCGTTAAAGCACTTAAAAAGGACTTAAAACACAAAAAGCAGGTTTATATCTCAGCATTTTGTTCATTTCTGTGAAGAAAAGTACATTAAATTGAGGACATAAGTGTACTTCTTAGTGAAATGTTGTGTATTAATGATGATTTCTTTTTAGCTTGATGCTAATAAAAAAACTTGAATTCTGCTTCAATAAGGAAGAAATCCCTGTAGGGAACTTTTTGTGCCATATGACAATAAAATAAAGTTAAAATTATTATTTCAGATATAAACTCTCACAGGATGAAGGCACGATCTCTGATAAACAGCCTCGTCCTGCATTAGAAAAGTCTGCAGTTCAAACAACCAACAAAAAATTAGAATAAAACACTGAATTTGTCAATACATGAATAATACTAAGTAGGATTGTTAACATTTTCTTTTTTTAAATATGTATATAAAAAGGAAAAACTAATCTCTGACGCAATATTGTGTTCACTATTTGTTTATCTGTTGTTGTGTTGTATTCAAATCTGCTTTTAATCTACGATCCATCTCCTCCTGTTGAATGGAACACATTGATATGAATACAGTTACAGGACGATGGGCGAGATCAGGCATCAACACACACACACACACACACACACACACACACACACACACACACACACACACACACACACACACACACACACACACACACACACACACACACACACACACACACACACACACACACACACAGTCCTTTGTCTCCTTTCTGTAAGCTTGTTCGGAGCGCTCAGGTTACGTCTGTTGTTTACGTAACCGTTAGTGGTGTCTGCAAACTGTCTTTGGTATTTCAACAAGTCAGACTTTGTTTTCCTTCCCTTCACAGACGATTGAAGAGACACCTTCCTCTAATTAGGAAAAACAAAACTAAACCACAACGTGTTTGTTCAATTTCAACCAGAACAACATAAACTACTTAATGAAGTTCATGATTATCCTACTAACTTACTACAAAATAAAAACAGGATTGTAGTGTATCGTGAGTTTAATATGTTTAGCTGTTAAAATCCACATGATACCTAAATTTAGAGAGCTGTTTGCTTCCGTATATTTATGTATTTCCAACATAAACAGGCAGTTAGAGACTTGTTACTTCTTTTAGCAACAAGTCCATCTTTAAATCAGCTCGGTACCGCCGTTGTCAAACCGCCCTCTGTCTGTCTCGGAGGTTGTGTTTACTGGGAGGCTGCTGGATATAATTATTCTGATATAATTGGCTGAAATCAGTTCATGCTTACGAGTCACATTTTGTTTTACAGGAAGATAAAATAATTGAATTTTGATATAAAACAATGAACATGTTTGTGATTTTTTTTGCATAAATTGTTAAATATGGGAACAATATATCTGAGGATGTGATATTAAAGGATTAAAAAGGACATTTTTTTGAATGTCACCTGGACTTTAATATGTCAATTTAATATCCGCTAACGTGTTGACACAATAACTCATGTTACACACACCGACATGAATCAAACCACATTAAGAGACAGTGTACACACCCTAATGGATTTACCTTATTTCCAAAACTCACGAAACCGCACACACACACACACACACACACACACACACACACACACACACACACACAGACACACACACACACACACACAACACACACCTTCCTCAGGCATGTATTGAAACAAACAAAGACAGAAAGGAGGCCAGGAGACGTCACCTTATTATGTAATAAAAAAGAGGTTTGTTTACTTTGTTACTGGGCATCACATCCAACTATTTCTACCAGCCTTTTACTTTTATGTGTTTGATAGCAGCAGGTGCAGCTTTGAATGCAACCAGCGTTTGTACTGAAACAAAAAGACTAAAAAGACGAGGGAATCCCCTCCAAAATGAGAACAACCTCAACAACGTCATGGTGTTTATTTTTCTCTGTCGTCGCCAGAGGGTCAGTTGTCTCGTAGGAGGTCGACTCTTTTATTTATTTACTTACAGGTGCTTTCAAGAAATGGGCAAAACAAGGAAAACAGAAATAAGAGACTGAGGCTAAATTAACGCAGAAAAACGAGACGTATTGATTTTTTGTGGTTAAACTCACAACCGCTAGACAGCAGTGTTGTGAATGTAAACTAAAGAGCTATAATGTTTGATGTTACAGCGACGTTAGATCAGATTTTATGCGCATTTACAGACAGTAAAGACAGATTTACTAAAATAAATCCCAATATACCGCCTTGCCTACAATATATCGCAGTATATTGAATAGTTACTCCTGTCCTACCACATACCTGCCCGTATGCTATCCCATGGCACCCTAACTATCTCCCATCTACAAAATAACAAACACAGGAATATTTCTTACAGGATCATAAATTTCCCACTGTACTTGAACGCATATCCCAAATGCACTATTCTCTGCCATCGAGAAACAAAAAGAAAAACATGTTATGTTATTAGCTGTGAGGATGCACGAAATCCAGCTGCAACGATAACCGATAATTACCTGCTTAATTAGCGATAAGTTAACCAATAATTTAAAATAAGTTTATAATCTAGTTTTTATATAACTGAAGGTAAGAAAGGCGGAGAAAAGATGGATTATTTAATATTCTATAGCTAGGAGTTAACTGACACTATTATTAACAACGAACAATTAACAAGTCTTCAAATGTTCATTTATTTTTTTTGTTTTTTAGTAAAGTTCATTAAAAAACATGCGTAAGAATTCCAAATAAATGATCATTAATCCCATCAACTGCTTGTTTGTCGTCTTAAAATAATATAAATTTCGATTATCGGCCGTTCATTTATCCGTCCCGATGATTATCGTGAATCCTTAATAAGCAGCTTCCCCCTCTGACATGGTAGCGCCCTGTGATTTAAACATAATTTCAGTGAGCTGAAATAAAAATAAAAACAATTATGTGTACTTACAAAAATTAATTAAAATAAAATAAAAACAGGAAACAGGAAATGTTTTCAGTAAGTCAGTGTTTTTGTATTGTAATAACTTGTTCTGAACTTCTTGAGGACAAATAACCCCTTTATTACAATAAAGAAAACCCCTAAAACTAACAATAAAAGCTCAACTGAAACTACCGAACCCGATCTGAAAACTAATTAAAAACTACATAGAAACATAAAACATTACAATAACTCCAAGTTAAGACTGAATAAATATGAATAAACCAGATTATCCTGACTTCCAGACAACATGACAGCGCCGGCATCTCGATTACATGCAAATAAACACTGTGGAAATAATGCAAAACGAACTCAAAGCAACAAGAGATCCACGTGGCTCGTGTTGCTACGGCGATACGCAAACAGGCAGGAAGGAGGAATCCCATAAACTGTATATTTAAACCTGATGAGCTTTTAACAACCAACAACCCAAAATACGACAGTGGCTTCGCCACGTCCAAAACTCCCCCAACGAGTACACAGGGTTGTAACCATGTTGTTATTTTATATTCTTTATGAAAATGTGCCCATTTAGAAGATTTTTTAGGACTATGTTGACATTTTATGTCACATTTATAGAGCTAGTTGCTACCTTTCCACTTCACTTCACTTTGTTTACTGACTTTAAAACACACCCACTAGTTAGAAATATGCATTTTGCAGCAGGAAAGTTTCCAATGTGGAAACATTTCATACGTAAAACATGTAAAAATCGCAATTAATATGACAATTAATGCTGTATTTTAACAAAAAAAACTGTCAAAGTCCAAGTTGATTTGTATTTTGTTGATTTATTTCAAAATAAAAGTCTTTTATGGACTTCTATCTTATCTTGATTTTAAATAATAACTACAATTAATCACTATAATTTATGGAATTTAGTGCGAGTGGCTTCTTAGAAATAAAGTCTCTAAGAGGATCTGAGACGTCTGAAGAGAACCGGGCGAATCCAAGTGTACATTCGGGAGGGGGGAGAGTCACACGTTTTCTTTAACAAATAGAAGTAAATTGAAATGAATAGGAAATAATAAGAGACGGAGCCGGTGACAGCGCAAAAAAACCCCGACATATTTATCGTAGATAATTCAAGGTTAGACGTGTTTTTCTACAGTGTCGCGTTGTCCGACACTTTTAATAGTCTAAGCCAGTCAGCGGCAAACACAAACACCTTTAATCGATGTGTGCAACTGTCTGCAAAGAAACTAAAGATTTATGCTTTTTTGTGCTCATGAGGTTTAGCAGATAATAACTCTCTACTCTTTTATCCATCATGAATATAATAAGACAGGAAAATAAGGTCCGAAATTACCTTTTTAACTCTAACAAATGATAACAAATACCTTTTTTAAGTGCTGTTTAACATTCATGGTGCCACTTTCCACCAGCAGCACATTAGATCAACTGCAGCTAATTAGTACGAATACAAGAACTTTACTGTGAACTATATGGAAATGTGTCTTCGGTTTCACCATAAATGTCCTAAAAATAAAAAAACGATACACAAATATCACATGCAAACTGCAGCAAAGTCCATTTCCTCGTCCACCAGATCATACTTATATGATATATAAGATTATATAATTCAGCTTTTTGGCTGTGTGTCTTCTATCAGTCTATCAGTAAACTGTAGCTCAACAAGATGAACAGATTGGTGACTCAAATCAAGAGAAACCATCTGCTTGACATGTCAGTTACTGGAACATTTCCCACGTACACATTTTTTTGATTATGTCGATTGATAGTGATCAGCTCTGATTCAGGATGCTCAAGTAGATTGTGAAATATAAAACGGTGTCAGTTATTTAATCAACATTTTATATCTGCTGCTTATTTTTTTTAGGTTTAAGCTGCAGGTTGTTGAATAAAAATAGAAACTGCCACTCGAAACTGCAGCTTAGAGTCAACAACAGGTGATTAAATAAGTAAAATTACTCTTGAATGTTAGTTATTTATAGCTTTAAATTACTTCTGAATGCAGAAAGTTAAACCTTTATTATATTAAATAAGGGATTCAAAGGGACAGGCGATAAATACGCTTAAAACCAGTAAATAAAGATGATTGAAATTAATATATATAACCAATTTACAGCAACTGACGTTCAGCTACAGTGAAATCTACAGTAATAACAGCAGCAGATATTCATTTATAGTAATATTTAAATTAATAGATCCTTGATTTCAGACAGCAGTGGATAAATAAACACGAAACATAGAACTGTTCAGATATTTACTATAAAAATAAACAACAACAACAAATAACATTAATAGAAGCTTATTAAACTTTAACCCTATTAAAGTTGTAAAATGTCCTTTAAGTGGATGAAGAAGTTGTGACAGTTTATCTTAATATAAACATGTCTTACCTTGGAGTCGTAGGCCGACTGCTGGATGACCTCTGGCGCCATCCAGAACGGCGTTCCCACGAAGGTTTCCCTCTTGATCTGCGTGTCCGTCAGCTGACCGGCCACCCCGAAGTCCGCCAGCTTCACCTGACCGTGCTCCGACAGCAGGACGTTGGCGGCTAAACAGAGAATTTATATCTTTATTATCACAGATTTTGGTTTGTGACTGTATCCATACACTGGTTTTTTTTAAGAGTTTTGCAAATAAAACAAGTAAATTTGGAATTTCAATATAATTAGATCAACTTTTTCACATTATTCTGATTACTTAAGTGGTTGTTTATAGTAAACAGATACAATCACAGCGTAAAATGGTCAAATATTTTCTATTCTACCACCAGGGGTCCTCAAGTCAGAAATTCTAACACACAGTGGCTTTAAAATTGTGAATTTTTGTGAAAGTTTACATGTTAAAGTCAATAAAAGTACTGCAAAGCCTCTAGAAACACTTGTATAGGCCGACGAAACGTTAAAAAACTATACATATTATCAGTTAGAATTCAACTAAAAGCTCCCTGCACCAAACTCCCTTTAAAAAACATCACATATTAACAATTCCTAACGTGTGCGTAAAAACACGTCAACTCTAGAAACACGAGCTAAAGAGGGATAATTAATAACGGTCTTCTGGTCAATTCGGCATCAAATATAAATCAATAAAGATTAATTTCCTCTTTCTGTCTCTTCAGGCCAACGTTTGGTTGCTTTAATGTTATTAATTTAAAATCAAGCTTAGATAACAAATACAGTATCTCCAGGTGATTTGTTATGGTGTATGTACGTTATTATTATTATTATTATTAATAGTCGTCATCTTGTTACTAAAAACGCCTCAACAAAACATCTAAACAAACTGGAGGAAGTGGGGGTTTGGCAGTAAGGAGGGGTCTAATGACAGATGCTTTTCAGTTGCATTATGGGAAATGTAGTGTTTTTTTTAAGCTTGACACATGCTACAACAACTATTTCTACCAAGTATGACGTCAAATTGATTATGTTGTAGAAATTCTGTGTATATAAGAAATATACTAGACTAAAATAATATATTTAGCTTACTGCACATACTGAACCGCCCCATAATGCGTTGCATCTCTTCAGACTTCAGTTAATTTTTAGTTATTTCATCACTAAATTCAAATGTTTCCAGAGTTAAGAAGCTCCAGAAGATCCAGCGGGGGAGGCAGGGTGTACATACTGATTGATTGGCTGTCTGTCTCTTTTAGAATTGATTTTTAAAGTAATTTTACTTGTTTTTAAAGCTTTTAAATGACCTTTCTTTCATTTTATGCTCCAGCCATCACCCATGTCCTCCAATGCTTCCCTTTTAAATGTTCCCTTATGTGTCCCATAAAAGTGAGAGTGAGCCTTTTGTTTTGTATTCCTATAAACTGAGGAACTCATCGCCTCTGGATATTAGAACGGCAAGCTCTCTCTGTTATTAAAAGGAAATTAAAAAACTTTTTTAATCTGGCTTTCAGTTTGGAGTTAGTTTTTAGGTTTTAATCTTTGGTTTTTATTTTATTTTTAAGTGTTGTTTCTTTGCTTTGCACTTTGGGCTGCATGTTTGTATGAAAAAAGTTAGGGGTTGGGTGCCTTGCTCAAGGGCACCTCAGCAGTGCACAGGAGGTGGAACTGAAACCTCTCCGGCTGCCAGTCCACACTCGATACTGTGCTTTGTGCTGGACTTGAACCGGCGACCCTCCGGTTCCCAAGTCCCTACAGACTAAGCTACTTTAGGTTAACTAAGTATATTAGTATGCGATTTCAAACACACCCTAAAAGTCAGAATATCTGCAGCAATTTTGTCCAATTTCTCTTTTTAAATGTGTCTTTTACAAGTCCACAAACTGAATACTGAAGTCACTGATTACTATTTCAAATATAAAAAGGTAGAAGATACGCGGCTACACACTCTATAAGCAGCTGAGTGTTTTACCTTTAATGTCTCTGTGGATCTTCTTCTCAGAGTGCAGGTAGTCGAGGCCCTTCAGGATCTCCTTCAGCATGGTGGCAATCTGAGCCTCATCAAATGGACCCGCCCGCAGCTGCACACACACACACACACACACACACACACACACACACACACACACACACACACACACACACACACACACACACACACACACACACACACACACACACACACACACACACACACACACACACACACACACACACACACACACACACACACACACACACACACACACACACACGTCAAGTGATGACACAGATGTAAAACACTCACCGATGTGCCGGAGGCTGTATGCAGGAACTCAAACACACCCTGTTCGGTTTCATCCGAGGCAAGACTCAACACAGAAAATTAAAAGACACATTCTTTATGTTTTATTCATCTACTTCCTCAACTTCACGGACCTAAAATTTTCCTCAGCAAATAAGGTTACGATTTTTTTTGATAAAGTTTGAACTTTTCTATTTTGTTGTCACTTTTTTGTGGATTTATATGGACACAAAAGTGAATTATCATGAATTAAAAGCTACCATACATTACAGAATATTACTAAACTTTCTATAATAAACTGGAGGAACAAACCTCCAGAAGTTGGCGCTATAGCCAGCATCTGAATCTTATAAGAGTTGCATCTTCTGGATCTTGTTCAGTGTTTTATTCTACTGAATTAGATCAATAAACCACTTAAACACTCACCAAGTCGAGCGCTGAACCTCCGCCGAGATACTCCATGATGATCCATAGTTTACTGCCCTGAAATAGAGAGAATTCATCTTCTAAATTCAGAGAAAATACAAATGAAGAAGTAGATAATTAATCAAAATAAGCTGCATGTAGCCCTTAAAAACCTTAATATTTACCCATCAGATTATTAACTTCTCCAGATTACAGGCTACATTTTAGAAGAACGTGAACTGTGTCGTACCTTCAGATAGGAGCCGTAGTACTTGGTGATGTACGGACTGTCGCACTGACTGAGAACCGTGATCTCCTGCTGGATGTCCTCGATCTCGTCCTCAGCCTCCTCCAGGTCGATGGTCTTAATGGCTACGACGCTCTGAGTGCGGTTATCGATACCTTTGAACACCTGCAGCAGGAAAAAGAGACAAGAGAATGAGTCGACGGTATAAAGGAGAGCTGGAAGTGAAGCTATTAACAACACCTTAGCCTCAATTAGTTTCTAATGTATTAAAGCTGCAGTAGGTAACTTTTAATAAATTAACTTTTTGTGATTTTGCTGAAACTTTCACTATATTCTTAAATTAGGACATGAGACAGATCATCTGTGAAAAAATCTGCTTCCTCTGGCTCGTTTTAGTGCTCCGAATGAAAACAACCAATCAGAGCAGAGAAAGATAAAAAGACACTTTGGGTTGGAGGCTCGAAGATGGTTGAGTCTCTTTTTGTCGTATTTGGCAATCTGGGAGTTAGACTCCACAATTAACGATCTTCCTTGGCTTTGATTGGTTGTTTTTATTCGGGCCCGGTGAACTCTTAAAAATGCCATTAAGAAGCACTAAAACGAGCCAGAGGAAGCTAATTTTTTCACCGATTATCTCTCTCATGTTCTACTGTCAGAATATAGTGAAAGTTTAAGCAAAAATGACTTTTTATTTTTCTAAAAGTTACCTACTGCAGCTTTAATGCATCTTAACGGACTGGATCGGTTCAGAGGCCCAAGGACAGGCAGCAGAGATTAACCCGGTGAATGTGTTATTCTGTACGTGTCGGCTGTGTAAAAGCTTTAAAAACCAACCAGCTTTCAAAATAAAATAAAAAGTGCATAATTACACACACACACACACACACACACACACACACACACACACCTCTCCAAAAGATCCCTTTCCAATGCGATCCAATTTGGTGAACAACTCCTCCGGATCGATCTGAGTACTCTGAGAAGAGAGGAAACAAGGAGAGAAAAGACAAAATGTGATTAATATTAGTTTATATTCACACAATAATTCAATTATTTAGAAGAAACTGCACATAAAACTGAACAAAATATAGTAAAAAAATAATCTATAAATACAAAATGTAGTGAGTGTAGCATTGTATAGCATACGGGATTTTCAAAATAAATTATAAAAGATAACAATAATAGTAATTTGGGTAAAATCTTGCACATAAAAGTAAGATTTCCATCACATTCCCAGAGACTTTGACTCTCATTTGCTCACTTACACACAACACGTCAGCCATGTTGTCACCACAGTGCTGCACAAAGTCACCACACACACACACACACACACACACACACACACACACACACACACACACACACACACACACACAAAAAAAACCATAAAAACACAGAAGGAAGCCAGCATGACGGTTTAAAGATAACAGGAACTGAACACACAGCTGCCAGACCACACACACACACACACACACACACACACACACACACACACACACACACACACACACACACACACACACACACACACACACACACACACACACACACCTCAGAGGACTTTCCACTGACTTACATTTGTTTCCTAAACTCTGCACTGTTACCGCTGCGGTTGTACAACTCAAAGAAAAGGCAGCGAGTTTGCAGGAATCGAACGTCACAGTGAAGACTTCATTAATGTGGTTTTCACCGTAAATATAAATACGTAACAATATATGAGGTCACAATTGAGCTGCTCAAGATGCTAATGAAATCAAAATATGTTGTTTTCTTGTGCACAAATGGAAAAAGGTGCATAAGTCACCAAAAAGTAGTAGGATTCATCCTCCGAGGACCATGACTTAGTTAGTTTTTGAGCATAATATCCATAAAAACACACAATTTGTTCAGTTAATTAAACTGTTTCATTTTTATTTTAGCTTTCTGTTTAAGCTTCTGTATTTTATTTTGAACAGCAATGAATTAGCAGTTGCTAACCGTTTAAAACGCTAAACCAAGGGCCAAAACCAAGGATTTATATCTGTGAAATATACAACGGTACAGTGTAACAGTGGCACAAGTGGGGAAAACAAATAAAGTCAGCAAACTCAGTCAGTCAGTTAAACTTTGCTAAGTTAATATTAGGGACCATTAGCTACCGCCTAAACCAAACACTGTTGAACTACGCAGGCAAAGTCAACTTCTCATGTTATTTCTTCCTTCAAATGTTAACCTCACTTCAATATCATGAAGATTTTTATTTAAACATATTAAGTAATTATATTACTGTAATATCTTGCTAAATGTGAGTTACACTTAACTTTGTATACAGGCTATAAGTCTGATCTTGGTATAGGGTGAAATGTTTATTTATTTAATCAATTAGACCTCGTTTGATTGACTGAAACATTATCTGCAGCTTTTCTGACAATCAATTTATCGTTTATTTAATCTATTAAGTAAAACTGTTCTTAGTTCCTTAGAGGATTTGCTGCTTTTCTTTATCTTACATGATAATAAAGTGAATATAATTGTGGTTTTAAACTATTTGTTGGACATAACGAGACATTTTATGACATTAGGGGGAACTAAAATGAACATTTCGCACTATTTTCTGACATTTTAAAGAAAATAATTGCAATAAATTTGCAATATAAGTCAGAAAAAACTGCAATAAGTTAGTTACAAAACCCACAATTGGCTTCAACAAGCACTTGCAAGTCACAGACTATGAAACACACTCACATTTTGTTCTTAAAACCCCCAAGAATTGTTTAGGAAGAAGCATTTTTTAATAAAAAACACACCCAGTGAAACATATGATACGATGCTGTTTGAGTTTCCTCTCTGAACTAAAAAAAGGAACAGTCACAACACACTCAGTGCCCACAATGTTGCCACACCCAGTCAGCAAACACAGCGGTTACAGTCTAATGATACTTCCAGCTCGGTGCAGAGAGACGAGCAGAAAACAGCGACTACAGAGGAGGAGAACAAAAAAAAAAGACAATAACATACAATAATATGAAAGCTTTTACGAGGACAATGCCGGTATCGCAGTACATTAAACCATCTATGATGGCATAACTGAGGTTTCAAAGTCACTAAATGTATGTAATTTCCTATTATAATTAAGTTAAATTCAACTTTTATGTAACTTCTAGTACAGTCTATAATGTTTAAGGGAGTCCTGGTTTAAAACGTGCATATACCATCTAACCACAACGTCCCCTATTCGACCTCTGATGCATAATGCAGGTCATACGCCTTATTTTCACTGTTTCCTGTCTCTTCACTGTCAATTATCACAATAGAAATACCCTTAAAATACGATACTGTATGTTAAACAAGTGATACTTCATCCAAAATAATACAAAACATGTCTAACGTCCCATAATTAAGGCTGAGAATTGTTTTTTTAATCATTAATATTCTTTATTTTTGGACTTTTTTGGACTTAAGTGAAATAAATCTTTAAAGAACACATCTTAAATCTTAATATCGGTCTTCCAAGAATAAAACAGACCATAAAAAAGGTGCCTCATTAGAAAACAACAAGTTTGTTTACAATCATACAACCAGAAGAAGTAAGAAGCCTGTAAATAATCATATAACGAGCAATAAAACTTTTTAGTTAAACTCTAATTATTTTTAGCCGCGCAAGCAGTTCAGCTCTAAAGATGGCAACATTGATCTGCCTATTAGAGCCGATATTGATCGATATCGACCTACTGACGTACCGGTATCAGCGTGTATGTCACCCAAACTGTTTTTTCCAGGTATATAATGCAAAAAGGATTGTAGTTCTTACAATACTGAGGTCTAGCTATTTATTTAATTCTTTATTTTCTGAGTGTTTGTCTCTAGGATTGGTTGACAATGCAATCTATATGTTCAATTATTTAACATTTAACATATTCTTTAATAAAGCAGCGTTCTGAGTAACAAAATTCACTATATTCGCTATTTTGTACATTTACATTAATGACGCCCAGACATTCAACCCTAATAATCTTGTTGATGGCGTCTGTCACCATTAGCACCCTAGCAATAAATGTGCCAGAGTAGAGAAGTTCCCTCTCATCCACATGCCAACAGACCTATTACATAATGACCCAAGTAACATTTAATAAATATGGTCTATTCTTATGTAACAGAACAACAAGTGTTATTAGAGTCCAAATAACTCTGAATGAAGTCTTTCTAACTCAGAATAAGTTCCCCACTCTAATAAAAAAAAGAAGATAAAGATAGATATTCAGAGTTACAAAGACTTAATTCAGAGTTATTTGGACACACTTGCAGTTATGTGTTTTGTTACATAAGAACAGACCAGTGGTTCCCAACCTCGGGGTCGGGACCCCCCACTAGGGGTTGTGAGGCCTTCTGAATGTTAAGGGATGCAAGAAAACCTAAAATAAATAGACTTAGAGAACAACAGCCAAGTATCAGGGAGAAGAAAACATTGCATTTGTGAAAAAAGAAGCCTATAAAATCTGTATGATTGTTAAAAAATGATAAAAAAATACATAATATAGACAGAAAATTGTGTAAAAACTTCCCTAAACTGGAAATAATCTGCTCAAAATTCCATCAAATCACTAATTTTAGTTCACAATTTGAGCTAATTGTACAGTTTTTAATATAATATGCACAAAATATGTCACTTAGTTACTATCAAAAAGCAGTAATTAGGAGGTTTTTGAGGGGGAACTGTTAGTAAAAAAGGGCCTTGTAGTTGTATAATATGATCATGCTGAAAAATAGAATAAGGCTTTATAATAAAGAACCAATATGTTACTAATATAAATGGTAACAGGCTACTTAATGGTGCATATGTGTACCTTAATATAAAGAATAAAACACAGTTCCGAGTTTCTGTTTGTGTGTTTGGGCGTCTCTCGTTTTCTTTTACAGCTGTTAATTACAGGACAAACGTACTGGACGTCTTTATCATTCCCGTAAGCACACAGAGATTAGCGACACACAATTCCCGGCACCCATCTTAAACCAAAAAATCAGAGCTCTAATCAGTCTCACAGGTATTTTAAACACCTGTGGGACTGATTGTGGGTTTTATAGACACTAATTATTTAAGAATCTGTAGTTTCAGCCGTTTCTTTATTAAAATAATCTAAATAAAATGAAAATATAAGTGTAGAAATTGTGTTTTCGTCAATTTCTTAATACTCTCAGTGTTAGTAATTAATGTCTTCTGTGTGTTTATGTTTCATCCAAGGGAAAAAATCGAACTGCACGATTCAACTCGAGCCAATAAGGAAGTGCAGAAACTGTCTGTTTAGATATCCGTTATGATGTAATAGTGCAATATCCAACAGTGGGGTTTCCCTGGAGGCCATGAGCCAGAGACTGTGGACTCTCTCATCCTAATAGCTTTCATTAGAAAGTCAGCTTTGAATTTTTTTTAACCGTCTTTCACAAACCAGCTGATGATAAAGAAAAGACACACTGGTGTAATGTCTCTGTGGTTATAACTACATTAAACATTCATCTTTGTTTTCTCCCAGAAGACAAAAAAAAAGCTGTTAGTACGAATCAATACTTTGAGTCGGTACAATCAGAAATATAAACACAAACGAGGCTTTTTCTCAAACTTTGCTTCAATAAAATAATAACAAACGGCAAATAATTGTATTTAAAATCAGGAACAGTTTGATACTCGGTGCCACAGACACATTTCAGTCACTGTTAATAAAAACCAGTACTGACGTTCAATAGTTAGTCCTATATGAGAAGAGATTTTTACTGCAGATCTTTAGCAAAACTAAAGTTTTTACTTAAAGCTACAGAGGGAAGGTGGCCATGCTATTGCTTAGCACACTAACAGTTTCTAATTAGAACTTCTCACAAAGTATCAACTGAGGTTGAAGCATTAGTTTTTGCATTTATTTGGTAAATAAAATAAATCAAAAGTATTGGACAAGTTAAATCCATCCAGTAGTTGTTGATCTGTTTTAATCTGGACCGAAGCTATAT